ACACACACACACACACACACACACACACACAAACATCCCTATTTCAATATTTAGGTTTTTTTCTTTTTGATGCCTTGATTTATTCATCAAAACATTTTTGTGGGTTTTTTTTTTTTCCCTGCACTCTGGATTGAAACTAGAGCCTTGTGCATGCCAGGCAAGTACCCTTTCCTAACCCTCAAAAGTATTTGTGTTATGTTTGTTACAAGCCAGGCTCTGTTTTCATTTGTTTTGCATTTTAAAATATGTAACAATGCACAAAGCATAAGAGTTATAGATATTAATGTAGTGCCATGTGATGTTTTAACAGGTATATACACTATATAATGTTTAAATCTGATTAAACACATCTATTTTCTCAAACATTTATAAGTTCTTTTCAGTGAAAACACTCAGAATCTTTTCTTCTAGTATTTTGAAACATATAGTACATAGTTGCTGTCTGTAGTAACCCTACTGTGCAATAGTACACCAGAACTCCTAACTTGGTACCCACTCCATCAACCTCTGCCCATCCTTATTTCCTTTCCTTTGTAACCACCATTCTTTCAATTTATATGAGATCAACTTTTAAAATCATTCAATGTTATATAATGATGATATTATGGACTCTGATAATACTAATAATAAATTTGATAGATTTTGATATTTGATACTTTTAAATAAATTGATTGCAAGGCATTTCATTGTATTTAAACATCTTACAAGCTATAATTTCTTAGCTTCTTTTAAAAATCTTTGGACCCTGTGGTACCTTGAGGTAGGGAGGGAGCTTGTTTGGGAACCCTGCTTTTCAGAATGTTGTTTTGGAAACAGGAGAGGAAGTGGGGGGCCAACCCCAGTATCCTTCCCTCCTTCCCACTCCTCTACCCTATGTATCCATGTCTCTCGTTCAGAAGGAATGGTGGAGGCACTGAGGGATAAAGGTGACTAGGTTTTACTTTCCATTACAACAACATGTGCAGGACCCAAGCAAGCTCAAGCCAGACAGAATCCCAGCATGAAGAGGGGAGGTGGGCACGATGTCTAACCTTCTAGCTGAGGTGTTATTGGTAACTGAGTAACTTTTCTTTAAGAGTGTGACCCTAATAGGTTGACCATGTTCCAGTGCTTGGTCACACACCCATGAGTATATGGGCAGCATGAATAGGCTCAATGGATTTCAGAAAACGGAACCCAGTAGGGAAGGGGGGTTATACCTGGGAGGAGTTGGGGGAGGAGAGGTGAATATGATCCAATACACTTATATGAAAAGAACTAATATTTTAAAATAAAAGAGATGAATATTTGTTATTTCTGACAAAAACATCCCTGAAAGTTTTGCTACAAATCAATTAGCCAAGATTTCCAATGAAACTTTAAAATAAAACTGGCAATAAGATTTAAGCTGCCTAGACCTCGTTACTTCTTTAGCTACATGCACACTGTGATATAGCCTAGAGATGTTTTGGAACATAAGGTTCTTGCCATACCATCCAGGCTGGTGTTGAACTCTCAAGGGTTCGTCTTAGTTCAGCTTCCCAAGTAGTGAAATTTACCTCTGAGCTTGGTTTATTATCATCGCTGTTGTTTGATAGGCTGAGTCCTTAACTATTAAGGTGCCAGCAAAAAACATTTCTTAGGTCAATGATCTTGTGCCCAATGACATAACTTTGTAGCATTATTGGTAGAAGCAGTGATAACTGTGAATGTTAAACAAGGTTTTCTCTAAGAAATTTCTTTGACTATAGCAGACAGGACTCTTCGCTAAATTTCAGTCTTGCTTTACAGATTTGTAATTGGTAAAATGAAAAGACCTGGAAATCATGCAGGAATTCCGATTCCCCTTTAGTCAGCTTGAGTGCCATGTAAGAACACCCACAAACACATGACAGAAGTCATTCTCTGTTTCCCATGGAGTGAATCAGTATTTGCCATTCTGTCAGTGTGGGAAATTATTTATTCTTAGTTGAGAGTAGTAATGAAATTAGAAATTGAAATTGTTAAAGAATCTCCAGTGTGACCGGTATATTTTATGAACTCTGACGAATAGTTTAAAAAGAAATGCATTGCTCCTAAGCACCTGTTCAAACAGCTTCATCTGTTTTCTCTTGCTACAACACAGTATCATAGATGGGGAAATTTATGGAGAAAAGAAGTTCATTTGGGATCATGGTTCCAAAGTCTGGGAAATCCAAGACTAGGCATTCCAATCTGTTTACTTCTGGTGAGCATCTGATGGCAGCTTCAGCATCAGTGTGCATCTACAGACAGGATAGGAGTCACACGGGCCTGATTTATAGCAATGTGCTCTTGTAATATCTGATCTAGTCCTCTGAGAGGAAGAAAACTCACTCCCTACAGAGAGATGACATTAATCAATTTTTGAGGGCTCTGCCCCATGACCGAAATACCTCCCATCCACCAAGGTACCACATTAGGGATTAAGGTTCGGCATGAGTTTTAATGGAAACAAACAACAGCAGACCACAAGAAAAATGATTTTAATATTGTGTCCCCAAACTGGCTAAAACCTGGTGTCATATTTCTCTTGAAATGTAAAAGGTAAAAAGTCATTAAGCATCAATAAGTCTGTTTTTTAGCAGAATAAAGGAGCTTTCATGGAATATTTTTATTCCTTAATATTTCTTCATTATAAATGTAATATTAGCATATACTTTCAAGATTCTGAGAAATAAACATAATGACATCTTAAATTTTAAGTATTATTTTAAGAAATTTTCCTTATTGAAGTTACTCTTCATCTAAGGCTAAAGTAGGAATAATAATAATCCAATGCATCACAACAGTGGAAAAGTTAGTGCATGTTTCCTGTGTCTTCCAAAGAAGGAGTTTCAATAGTAATATTACTTAAAGTTTTTTTTAATAAATCAGTTATTTTTAGAGAACTTTAAGAAATTTCAACATTTACAAACAGGGCTAGGAAAAATATATGTTAAAAACAAATAATCCATGTCAATCTAAAAATAATTTTTTCCATTATGATGAATTTTAATTATTTTTAGCCTCAATTTCTCCTATCTCATCCCCTCTCCTACCAAAACCCTTCTTCTTCCTAAAAGACCACCCCCTTACTTTCATGGCTTCTTTATGTGTGTGGCCCAATGTGTTTAATTTGAAATAGTGGTACAGCATGAATGGGAAGTTATTTACTGGGCCATTTACCAGTGGTTACACCACTGAAGAAAATGATATCTCTGCCCCCAGGAGCCATTAACAGCCAATAGTCCCTCCAGGAGGGCCACACCTCCATCCATGATGGGGCAGTGATGGGCCAGGTCTTGTGCAAATACCCACAGCTGCTGAGTTCATGAGTGCAAGGTAATTTTATTTAATATGGTATATAATGTGTATAGCATCTGATGGTAGGTAATTGAAGATAGATAATATACGACACATGACTCGTGCATCATCAAGTGTTTCTTAACTGTTTTATTTAGGGCCACAAAGGAGATCCAGGATTTTCCCCAGGTCAAGCAGCTTCTGGAGAAAAGGTAATTATTTATCAATGAAAAAGCATATTTGAAATGTATTTTTAGTATTTAAAAATCATTTTTTTCCAGGGACTGGGAAAATGGCTCAACAGTAAAGTGTAACTTGCTATGCAAGCATGAGGAGTGAGAACCTGAGTTTGGATTCCTAACATCCACATTAGAAAAAGAGTTAGGTACAACTGCTGGAGTTTGCAACTCCAGCTCTAGGGAACAGAGACAGGTAGATCCCAGGGGCATGTTCCAAGTTCCAAGTTCAGTGAGAGACAAATAAGATCAAGAGTGGTAGAGAGAGAAACTGCACATTGACTTCTAGTCTTTACATGTGCACACATGGATGAGTGCACTTGAACACACATATACATACATACACACCATACACATATACATACACACAAATAAATAGGTTTAATTTTTTCTCTCTTTAGAATATATATTTCATTATGGCCAGAGAAGATAGCAGAAAACTGTTGAGTTTTAATGAACAATAGAATATTTAAATAATTAAGTAAATTATATTCCATCCATCATTCATTTAATTCTTTTTTAAATTTATTGCTTTAATTCTTACCGTTAATTTTATTGATTGTCTGCTGCAATCTTCCATTATGCTAAGTGCATGAATGGTCTTTTGTTTGTCCTCCTTTCTCTTAGATAGAGTCTCATGTAGGCCTCAACTTCCTATGTAGCCAAGGATGGCTTTGCCTCCTGCCTCTGTCCGCTGAGTGCTGGATACAGGCGTGTGCCTCACGCCAGTTCTTAACTTGAAAGATTTTACTGTTAATATATATGAACATGAAAACATATAAATCAAAATGTTATCTTCTAGCATAGTTTTTAGGAAAGTTCTTGATCATTTGTACTATATAATGACCACAGTAACTTCCAGGGAGAGAAGCAATCGTGATTGTCATGTTTTCTAGTTGAAGAAAACAGGATAGACTTTAAGTGGCTTACACATGGATAGCAAGTGGCAAGGCTAATGATGTTATTAAGTTTTCTGATTTACAATTCATTGCGTTTGTCAGATCATTATAATATTCTGACATATGAGGGTAAAAACATATTTCAGTAAAAATGAATGCTTTAAAGATAGAAACGAAATCCTAGTTAGGAGGAAGATGCTGTTTTCCAGTGAAGATAAATAAAAATGAAGCCTTTATTTTATTTTGGATTTTTACATTGTGGAATTAAAAATCTCTTCTCTATTTTTATTACTTAAATTCGTTCTTTGACACTTTCCTACATGCATACAATGCACACTCATTGCACTCATCCCCACCATGTCTTAACTCCTTCCCACCCCTGTGCACCCCCACTTCTTCCTTAAAGATCTCTTTCTCACAGTCCTATCTACTTGCTTCATGTTGTGACACCTCTCTGTGAGCATAACTTTGGAACTAGCCATTGGAACCTGCTTAAAGCAGCTGTGGGTACACAGCTGAAGATAATGAACTCCCCCCACCTCCCAGAATCTACCAATAACCAATAGTTCAGGAGTGAGGGGTAGAGTACTGGGAGCCCTCTGCCAACCATAACTGATGTTTGATGAGTACGATTTTGTGCAGACACAATGCAAATAGTGACGGCTGCTGTGGGTTTATGATTGCAATGGTTATGCCGTGCCTAGAGGATGGCATTTCATGGCCCTTCTCTTCCGGCTTTGACAGTCTTCTCTCCTTCTGCAATGTTGCCTGAGCTTTAGAGGAGGGGTGCAACTGTCCTGTTTAGGGCTGTGCCACGGGATCCTGGGCAGCCATAAGTCTGTGCTCATTGCTGTTCACTGGCAGGTTGGTTTTGCATTTTATGGGTTCACAACTTGGTAAGACTGTTGGCATTTTTTCTCCCCTAGCTGGCTGCATCAGACCTTCTAGCACTATGAAAATTAGCCAGCCTGGAGAAAGTTTCCAGTTGAGTTCCAGTTTGCTTTCTCTATATCTTGCAGCCAAGATGTGTGGTGTCTTCAGCAACAGGGTCTCAACCTCCAGTTCTAATGAGCAACCTAGAAGTCTGAAAGAGCCTGTATTCCCTTAGCTGCTTCTGGGGCCTACTTGGTCAACAGCTCCTAGGGAGGGACCCACAGGCACTGGGAGGAACAGCATTATTTGCATATGTGGTATATCCCTTCAGTCTCTCTTTTGTATTTATAATGGGATTATTGATAAGCTTCCATGTGATTTATTCCTGCTCCTTCACTCCTGTTTGTGTTGTTGTTGTTTTGTGTGTGTTTGTTTGTTTGTTTTGAGATGAGGTCTCTCTAAGTAACCCAGGCTTGTCTCTCACAATCCTCTGGTCTGAGGCTCCAGAGTCCCACAAATACAGGCACGTGCCACTGTGCGTGGTTACTACTGTAGACTTTAGAAAGATGCTTGGGAAGTTCTGTTTAGACAAGTACTTGATCAATGTGAAATAACTATAGGATGGCTTTGTTTATTGTTATAGATTCACAAATTTAAAATCCCTGAGTAATTCTAATGATTCCTGGGTTGAAATCTGATCTTTTAATTGGCTTAAAGAAATTATTATAAGATTAAAAATCACATCACAATAACGGATTCTACAGATAAATCCTTAAAGTCCTCTACAAGTAAGTCCTCAAAAATTAATCTAAAAAGTTTAGAAATTTTATTCCTGTTGTGTGGGTTGATGGAATCTTAAAGACATAGAAGCGGATGAGTTTATTTCCAGACAAGTAATATCTTCAGTGGCATCTTCCTCATTATAAGGAAAAATATTACGAAAGCATATATAATATATATATATATATATATGATATGGTTGTGTGTATATGCATGAGCACATGGGCATGCACATCCATGGCATATGTGTGGCAGTCAGAGCACAGCCTTTACTGTTGATCTTTGCTTTCCACTTTGAGACCAGTTGCATAAGCCAGGCTAGCTGGCTGGCAAGCCTGGGGGAATCTCCTATGCCCGGCTCTCCTCTTGCCATTGGAGCCCTAGGATTACAGGGGTGTGCTACTGCACCTGGCCTTACTTGGGTTCTGGGGACTCTAAACTAGGTACTAGTGTTTTCTCTCAAGGATTTTACCCTCTGAGCCATCTCCCCAGCCCTTTCCAGTCCTCGTTTTACCTTTTATTTTGAGGCAGTAGCTCACTAAGTTGTCCAGGTTAGCCTTGAACTCATTTTGTAGCCAGGGTACACCATGAACTTGTGATCCTCCTACCTCAGTCTCCAGAGCAACCGGGATTATAGGACTGTACCACCAAGCCCAGCTTGAGAGGTAGGGATACGTTTCTAAAATGGTGAAATTTTTTAAAAATGTAAAAACCAAATATCTTAGAAAGGGTATTTATATTAAATTGAACTCTCCCTCTTTACACTGCAACAGATTCATTGCTGGTGATCAAATGAAAGCTAATAAGAACCATTCTTGCCCCTCCATTCCTCAGGATAGATTTGGTAGGTCCTCCTCAAGGTGGGGAGAAGTTGGCCCTGATCAGTGAAGTTTGGTCTGCTGATCTGAGCTGCAAACACCACACAGGGGTTGGTGACAGTTCCTTGATTCAGCCTGGACGTAGAAATGGTCCTGCTTTGGCTGTATTGAGGTCCTTTCAGAGTCTCACCATGCCCTAGAACGTCACTAAAAGGGGGAAATGCCTAGCGCAGCCTTGTGGAATTTTTTTAGGCAACACCTTTAGATATTTTAAACTGACAGTAATTTGGGGACTGAAGGCATTCCTAGAGAAAAGAACAACAGACAAATGAACAGAAGTATGGAAATAGAAAAATATCAGACGTTCAGTGCTAGAAGAGGTTAAGAATCCCCAGGAAAAGACTGAAAATTGCTGAGAAAGAAGCTCGAGAGGGCTGAGAAAGGAGTTAGAACTTGAGGCAAAGTGTCAAGATCAGAAATAAATGTGGGAAGGGCTTGATGTCCCAGATGAAAAGCTTAAACTTTCTATTTTCTTTCAAGGCATTAAACCTCTGTGTTTTGTTTACAGGGTGACCAAGGCCTTTTTGGATTAATGGGACCCCCTGGTTTGCAAGGTGAAAAAGTAAGATGTGGTTTTACTTTGACATAATTGAACATCATATGGATCTTGGAACTCTTTAATGACTGCAATTGCATTTTGAAATTGAGCCTAGAACCAATGTCTTTAAATGCCTTTACTCAGGGAAAGAAACTTAATCAGAAAATTTAGTGGTGCTAAATCAGAAAATTGATGGCTACGAAAGATGTGACCTTGGGAAAAATAAGACTCCAATTAATTGAAGGACACAAAATTCATATGTAGGAGAAAGTCAAAGTTGCTAAAAGATGATGGTGACTCCTTCCCTCTTTTAAAGTAAATGAGGGCAACGTCTTCTCACACTTTTAAGTCATCTTATAACTTTCATATGCCCTAATGAGATTCACTTGCCTATAGGTAATATACTTAGAATTTTTTGTGTATTTTTTATTGAATTTGTGCATTTCATACAAAACATCTTGATCATCTTTATACTCTCTCCCCCATCCACACTCTCCCCATACCAGATTTCATGCACTGTCATATATATTAAGGCCTATCAGGTCAAGTTTGTGTACCCAGAGGTCCCTCAGTGCAAGTTCATCCACTGGAGTCTAGTCAGCCTATACTTAAGATTTTTAAAAGAACCTGCCAATAGTAATTTTGGATTTTTTAAAAGAGTTCTCATTAATTAGGAAATAATTTGCCATGATGTTTCTCCAAATGCAAGTTTTTGAAAAGTAGAGTATTATTCAGACTTTTTGTTCTTGCAGCACATACCTGAGAAGCAATCTAATTTAAAGGAGAATGTAGTCATTCTGCTTCGCAGTTTCAAAGATCTCAGACCATGGTCAGCTAGCTCTGCTGTTTCTGATTTGTAGTGTGTAGAGCATCATGGTGGGAAAGCCAAGTTTCTCTCATTATGGCAGCCAGGAATCAGAGACACAGGGAGAAGCAGTGGGCAAGATACACCCAAGGACCCATCCCAGTGACCTACTTCCTCCAGTTAAACCTTACATCCTAACATTCCTAGCATGTGACCAAGACTTTAATAATGAGCTTTTTCAGGGGATATAGCATTTCCAAATTGCAACAGGGAGGAGGGGGGGTGAATTTGGGCATAGCTGGTAAAAAAGCACTAGTCAAGTGCAAAGAGCAAGTCAGGTGACACCTGTTTTTTCTCCTGACCAGCGACTCTAAGTAGCTTTATGACAAATGAGCTATCCATAGTTTATGGGCTCTGCCAGTAGTTCTGAAAAGGGTTGAAATGTTTGAGATGGCACTGTTCTACTTCTACAAGTGTTTTCTGTTTTCTGGTTGTACCTGTTAATGGAAACTATATATGAATTTTAAAAACAGGTAATTCTAAGAATGCTAAAGGCATAAGGACATACTCTAAACCTGAAATAGTTCTTGACTTAGCAAGATTAAGACAGCTCTCTGTCATCTTTTTATCTGTAAGTATTTTATATGAACATACAGCAAATAGACATTCAGAGTGAGCTTGGTTCCTGTTCCTGTTCCTTCCTGTATAGAAGGTTAGGTGCAACACATTATTGCATAGAAAGTTCTGGTAAATAATGACCTTTCTATTGAATTCACTAGTCTGGTTCAATTTTTTACCATTGAATTTCTTCCTACAAACAGGATCCATGCTAGAGAGCCCAGAATAGGGGCTCATACTAGTTTTACTTTGTGGACTCCTGTTCCTCCATCCCAGAAATCTTTATCCAAAGTGTTAGATGAATTTCTAAGATCAAGTAAAAACTTACATTACTTGTTTTGTAAGTGAAGAAACTAAGGTAAGTCCAGAAAGGTTAGGAAAATAGCTCAGCATCACAAAGAAACAATAGAATCAAGAGAGAAAGCTCATGGATACCAAATCTGTGATATTTTTAGCCACGCATTTGCACATTATGAGATATAAATACTACGCTCAAGATTTATTTTGAGATTTATTTTATTTATAAGTGTGTGCGCGTGCACGCCCATATGAGTATGGGTTCCTACAGAGGCCAGAATAAGACACTGGATCCCCTAGAGCTGGAATTACAGATGATTGTGAGTTGATCAATGTGGGTTCTGGGAACCAAACTCAGGTCCTCTGGAAGAGCAGCAAGTGCTCTTAACCACTGAGCCATCTCTCCAGACCTGGTACTTAAGTTTTTATTAATATGAAATAATTATATGCTTTTATTAGTTAAACCACTTTCTGAATTGTTGTGGAAATACTACTAATATTAAGAACAGCTATTTTATTATGTACAATGTTCTAATCTGATGAACACTTTTAAAAAACAACCTGGAGGACCAGGTGTGGTAGTACATGCCTTTAATCCTAGTGCTCAGGAGGCAGAGGCAGGCAGATCTCTGTGAGATGAAGACTAGCCAGGGATGGTCTACATAGCAATTTCCAGGCCATCTGGGGCTACGTAGTGAGACCCTGATTCAAAAGACAAAAGAAATGAGAAAAAAAAACCCTGGAAATGGTTATTATGCTATGTCATAAGTAAATTAAATGAGGTGGACATGGCTAAATAATTCACCCAAAACCACACAACTATTTTTTGACAGAACTTGGACTCAACCCAGGCCTGTTTGGCTCAAATGACTAGGTTCTTAATAATTTTGCATAGTATTTTCTGTGAGTTAACTCATTTAAATATGTGTTAGTATTTCATGTCTCAGTATTTCTAACTCTGTCCAGCACATACAGAAGAGGAAAGAAGATACTGTTTTTCATGAAAGCCAAGGGGATAAATGCAGCTTTGAATGACAGAAGATAATGCCTTCATTATTCACTCTCTCTGAAAGAATCTGGAAGTATTAAAATTCTTCTAATATAAACCAAACTCAAGTGATAGTGAAACCAAAATGACTGTAAGGAAGTTGTGGGGAGCACACTCACGACTCACAAAAAAGTTGAGATAAAAATTAACGTAAAAAGCTTTGGAAAATATAAATACAATTGAGATAGAAAAATGAGAGAGCTGAAATGTTTTCTCCACTCTCCAACAGAATTCTGATGTTTGATTCTTGTACCTCTTTAGCCTAGCCATTTTTTAAAACAATATCAACATCTCTAACCAGCAATGTTTGTCCCCAAGTGACTGGTTACATTGCCTAAACTTAAACACTGTCTTGTCTAACTCTTACTTTCCTAGGAACTGAAGTATCTTTCATTTCTTACTGTCTAATTTTTGCCAAAAAAGCAAATAAATTGAATCCAGAATGCATGCTGAGTTGGATAGAAGACAGAAGTTGTGATTTCCAAGTTTGGCTTCAAGATGGCTTTTAAAATTGTTTTATAAATAGCCAATCAGTTGCTATATTAAAATTGGAAGCCTGATGTTTTGCTTTGTAAGAGCATTAGCAGCACAATCAATGGAAATAGTTTTTGTAGGTTCAAGAGGGTTAGGCAAATGTGAGCAGCTAAGCACTTCCGTCCCCATGAAAGCCTAATTTGGAGCAATTCGGAAATTTGCAAACATTTTAAAAACACATTCTTTTAGAATGCATGCAATTTTGAATATCAGAAACACTCCAGTGTTTTAAATGATAATTATAAGTCAACATGAATTCTTCTTTGACTAAAATTGTTTCAATTATTTTACTGGTTCATAGTAAAGGATCTATATAGTGAAAGTCTGTACAAAGCTGGAGAGCAAGAAGCTATAAGCATCAGTTGGGGTCCACTGTGATTTTTGGATCACCCATAAAGTATGCAGCTTTTCACAAACTGTTTATAGCAAGGATAGTTCTAAGGAGCTGAAACAATGCTGAAGTCAGTGGGAAAACTAGTAGAAGAATCAAGTTTGGCAGAAAATCAATGCTTGAGGAGACAAATGGGATTTCTGCTCTCCCATAGCTAGCTATAGATCATCTCTCTTTGGCTCATCGCTCCTGTAAAAATCTGCTGAGCTATTTCACCTTGGCTTGGTTCCTGACCCAATGTGGTACTGAGCATCTAATACAAAAGCTATTGCTTCAAGAGAGGCTGTGCAGTCACCATGGCTCCCACCTCTATACTCTGCCTTTCCTGTAAACAGGAAGCTAGGAGCACAGCCACACAGTTCCAAATTCCCCAACATGGAAGCTAGGGATGGCAAAAGAGGTGTCATTTGAGGACTCTGAAAACTTTCCTATGTCCATATATTTCCTTCTGTCTAACTCAGGTGACTGACATTCCAACATTAGTAATAAATTCATTTGGCTTGAGGTATCTCAGTTTCCAGAATTGTTTTGAGAAATGTCTGTGTCTTCAGAATTAGCAGCCATCTCTTATCAGGCATTGCCATGAGAAGTAGCCCATTACATAGTTTTTCTCTATAAAAGCTCATTCCATGGTCATATATCAATTGCATTTGTTAGGGCTCATGGTTCAAAGAAGTATTGAAATCAAAGTCTCTATGTAAAAAATAGATACTAAGTCCTATTCATTATTGGGATTCTGGCTATGTCACAAAAAATTGAGGTGTTTTAATTTATTATATTTTTAATCTGTTTTGAAACAAAGATATTACATTTTCTTACTGGCATCCTTAAGGAGTATTTTTACTTCATTCTTTTAGTGTGTTCATTAGGGGAAAAAATCATGTATGTTGTTAGTTGTCGATCTATGTTCTCTATGGGTATAAAAAATGACATGATCTTTTCAAAAGACTAAAATATAAACTTACTTTTAAAAATAAAACGCCATATTCCAGATTAGAGCAATATCACATCATGAATCTGTAGGCAGTTTTCCCAGGAACTTATTCATTTAAATTTCAAAACTATAGATTAGTGTTTAAGCAGAAAATAAATGAGGCATCTAGACAAACAACTAGGTAATAAATGAAAGTCTTTGTACAATGGTGTTGATAGCTGCAGTTTTTAACAACTAAAATATCACATTTAAAAATTGCAAAAAGGAGCCAATGAAATAGCTCAGCAGGTAAAGAAAGGCACCTGGCCACCACACCTGACACCCCGAGTTTAATCCTCAGGACACTCGTGGTAGGAAAGAACAGACTCCTGCAAGTTGTCCTCTGACCTCTACCCGT